GCATGAACGTCACCTTATTAAGCCCGTCCTGCATACCCTGAAGCAAATAGGAGTACTTCTTCATCCTCACAGAGGATCAGCCGTAACGACTCAGGCGTAGATTGACTAAGAGTGCTACCAAGTGCAGCGGGGGCCGCCGTAGCTCTTTGCTCAGAGAAAGCTAAGCTAAGGTCACCGACCTTACGTTCTTTCCAAGAGCCAGTACAAGTGTAGTGGGTCAAAGGGCAAACGAACACTTCTGTTCAGTAACGAAACTGTATTTCATTAATTTAGTTGCGGCAGAGCCGCCAATATCTAAGACCCTAGGTTTTCCTAATTAATATAGTAATTTATTTTCAATATAGCAAGACCGTACTAATATAGTACAATGCATTACTACAGGTAATCCTAGCACGTGGTGCCTTTTTATTACGGTGTAGCCACACCACTGTGTATTTACACTTTCTGTTTAATACACACCTATGTACCGTCGCACAAAATTGTGCGACCCGCCTTTCTTACAAAGGTAGTTTAATCCCGGATGCAAATTAACTCTTTGGTTTAAAATATAAACTGTACTTCTCGGTTTTATCTACGGCAAACCGCCTATACAAAAATTATAGTTCACCTATCTAAATTGGCAAACCTAATCAGATGTATAACAACTGGCTGCTTCGGCCACGTACTGAATTTTTGTTTCACTCTGGCCACACCATTGTGTGGTCTTACCATCTTTTGTAAATCACATCATTGTGTGAACACACAATCTTGTGTGAATCCGTTAAAATATCTGAGCGACTAACAATGGCAACATAATGGACGCTCTTAGGAACCTTCTTGTGAAAGTTGCATTCTTTGAATGTGTGGAACATAATTGGTCCCAGCTCTGAACTTGAGAAATGGTCTCATTCTAGAAAGAGCATGGCTTGAACGCTGAGAGCTATGGTCGACTGTAAGTCGAGAAAGCTTCAAATGTCACAAACTTCGAGTCGACAGGAGCTCTGATGGGCCATGGGTATTATTTGCATGATGGAAGGATAGCTCTGATGTGGATATGAAGTTACGATTATCGCAAAGATATTGCTAGTGCCTTGATCTAATAAGTGATGGTAACTCTCGATCTCATGATAAGGTGGAAGTAGCGATTTTGCGGTCTCTGTTACGGCGTTTTTTTAAACTATCGAAGATTATGGTCGATTGGCCCTTTTTTACCTCTTTCAGCCAGCTGATGGGGATAATTAGCTGCTGATAAAAGTGAGAGATAATCGCTCCCAGCAATGAGTAAGCCAATATTTTGCATTCTAGAACATTGCTGACATGACAAAGCCAGCTACCCATGTCTTAATTTGAGATACCAAGTGGAGTCGGTGTGCGGCAGAAAGTCGGCTGTCAATTCTGTGACGAGACTGCTCATGTGTGGCTTAATTTTGGCACTTTCAAATCTAAATCTACCAGTTTGTGTCATCTGCGATAATTTACCCTTGTGTCATTGGTTGTTTCTCATCCAAGTTTGCCCAGCCTAAAGCGGCAGGCGAAAATACTTAGTCAATACTTGCAATAAAGTATGCGACCGTTAAGTTTAGATTACACCTGCTGCCTCGAAGCCCTGTGGAAACTATACAGATCATGCCCAGTTTATGTAGCAACATTGTCACCACACACCTCGCAGGATATGGCAAGATGGGTTTTCTTCTGTGTTAGGCCGGCTCCATGTGAAACGAAGTGTACTTTTGCGCTGCACAAACTTAAAGTCACGTGTAATATGACGCGCGACCCGATGAGACGATACGTACACCGTGTGGACCAGAGGAAGCATGTGTCGCATTGTTAAATGCTCTGTAATACGACTTGTTTCTGATCTCGATGCCGCTTTTACTAAGTGTTTGCTAGCACTTTTGCACCGTAACTCCTTATCTGTAGGCTTGCTGAATAACAAAAATGACTTATTTGAAACTCAGCGTCGGGTGCTTACTCATGATATAAATCTTACGTAGAAAAAACTGTACGTTCATTTATTCCCTTTAAAAGTTGGAAAGGAAAAGATCTACGGACGCTGCCATTCCATGATTCAGGGCTAGGTGGAGGGATAGCCAAACGGCTAGCTGATGTCAGCATTTTGAAAATATTTTCATTATAAAAAAGTAAAATTTAGCCCCCACAAAAGAGAAGTCGGAGACATCCAGTCTACTAGACTGAGTGTAACGACACGTTCGCGATGCGATGGCTGAAAGCCATGACGTGCAGAAGGAATATGCGGACGAAAAAAAGAAATAAATGGTGAAACACTGAGGTCGGAGACCTCGTTTTATCAAACGGCGCAAGGCGCTCCACCGTCGCACAAAGTGGCGAATTCGCCTGCTCGGCGGCTAGGATCTGCTCCGACAGAGTACGATAATCCTCAACGCGAGGCAGTCGGTGCACAAAGAGATCCAGATTCTCGAGATCTTCCGCACAGCATGCTCGGCAGAGTAGTGATGACGATGGACTTTGTCATCAAACACTCGGAGAGCATCGCGAGTCACCGGACGGCGGTCGACGACGTCGTCATCGTCTTCCACCGGCTCTCCTTGAGAATGGTTGCGTCCACTTCCACGTGAAACGCCTTTTGGGTCAATGTCGAAGACGGGGCTTAACCCAAAGTCTTGTGAAGTGGCGGGGATACACAAACTCCAAGAGCTCGTGGGATTTTGACGTGCCACTTCGGCAAGACTGTCCAGACGTCGAAGACGCTTATGATCAAAAGGATCAGGACGCTTCGCGTCGTCTTGCGCACCGCACTTCTCGACAACAGCCCATGAAGCCGGACGGCCATGAGCTGAGCTCAAGGTATGGCGCTGAGCTGCTGTGGTCGTTGAATCATCCGTGTGAGAAGTCACAGAGCTCGCGGGAGCATTATGGACTGCTCCATATGTTGCAGGGCGACAATACGCAGGAAGTTGGTGTTGCGTCTTGAGTCTGGCAAACTCAAATTTAAGAAGGCGCTTAACGCGCTCGTCCACTTCCTTGTGGCTTTGCTGAAAGGTAGACATCATGAAAAGTTTCCGGTGCCGCTACACCCATCGCTCAAAGCTCTCCTCATCATCTGCAGAGGTTTCGCCAGGGGTGAGCACCACAGGGACGGTCCGCATTGCAGGAACAGGAGCACCTCTCTCTTGAGCTCGTAATCGAGCGCGGTACCGATCCATTGTGATCTCTTGGGTGACCAAAAAGCGAGCTCACAAAGCTTTCCGCTAATCAAGCTCAGCTTGTGTAGTGACCGGAGGCCCGACTACGTAGACGCCTAACGATCGAGTGATCGCGTCTTTCGCTTCAGTCGCGGGACCCGCCAAGCAAAAGCCGTACTCCACACGAAAGTCTAAGACCGAATGTAGGAGAGACGCCCTTTGAGCAGCCTTCAATTGCTGCTCATGTGCCTCGTTGAGGCGATTGGTAATAATAAAACTTCCTCATAAACCGAGAGGTCGGGAAACGGACATGGGTTCACAGAGTTTGAGCTGGGCTCACGTCGCGCTGTTGGCGCACATCATCTTCCCCGACACCCATGCTAAAAAAGGAGTGCTCGCTCGTAGTTGACTTCCTCCAATTCCTCGACGAGGAAATACGTCGCCCGGGGCGGGTGCAATGTGTTGCGCTCAGTCACCGATGGCTTGGGTTGTGCTTCCCGTGAAGCTGCGGACGTAGTGTAAGGAGATGCACCCCGTGCAGAAGAAGAAGATGGGCTTTGCCCGCGGGCTCCCTGGCTACCAGCTAGGCTAGTTTTTTGCGTGTCGTCGACACTGAGTTCATAGAGCGGAGAAGATTTAAAGCTCTTGTTATAAACGTGAAGCTGTCTCAGACAAGCGAGACTCGTATGAGGTGACCGGTAAATGTGAATGAAGGATGATCACAATGTTAATGGGGGGGGAGTGTAATGGGATGACACTACCCTTGTAAGAAAGGGCGGGTCACACACCCGTACATAGGTGTGAATTACACAGGTTGGTGTAATCACACAGTGGTTTAACACGAAGCCACCACGTGGCAAGATTGCTAGTTGTAATGCATATTACTATATTACTACGGTTTTGCCATACAAATTAGGTATTATTATATTAATCAGGAAAACCTTGGGTCTTAGATATCGGCGGCTCTGCCGCAACTTAAACAAATAAATACATTTTTGTTCTTGAACAGATTGTTCGTTTGCCTAGATTAGACTTTAGTACTTAGAAGTAGCTGATTGCGATCCGCTACACTAGTACTGGTTCTGGAAAGAACGTAAGGTCGGTGACCTTAGCTTAGCTTCCTCTTAGCAAAGAGCTACGGCAGCCCCCGCTGCATAATTAGTCTAAGGTTAAGGTTGTAGTTATTCTTGAAGTAATGCGATCCACTACACTTGTAATCGTTCTAAGTATATACTCTTTCGCTAAGCGAAAGAGTTACGCGATACTGTATACGCAAATAGTTACGGCAGTGTACAATTCAAGCAATTGTGCAGGATTATGCTTAATACAATTGTCGCGCAAGCGTAAGTGTTAGCACGTAACAATGTTGCATCGGGCAGCATCAAAGCCACGTAAACTTTCTTTTTGCTGTCTTAGATTCGTACTTAATGGACGAAAGTGCATATGTATCTCACGTAAAATAGAGGTTGATAAATAACAGAGCAGTTCGAGTATCATGGGTTGAGTATTACCACAAAAAAGCTTGTAGATCCGCTCGTCTCTACCTAGCCATCTCATAAAGAGCACCATGATACCTATAAGTTTTATTCGGACAGAACGATAGTTGTCGTCGCTGATCGTACAATCGAGGGATGGGTATGGAAAGAGCAGATGACTTGGTTTTTTGTCTAGTTTCTTCTAGTAAATCGTGCATTACTACTTCGTCATGCGATGTGCAGTAGTGTTGCTGTCCTTTATTTCACCCATCATATGAATTGAAAACCTAGATCTTTCCACACGCGGCATGACGACCGTAAAATAGTACACTGTGTCCAAATATTTCCTCTTTACTCATTTCGGCCTTGTCGTACATATCTGATGGTAAATGTTCTCATTGTCTTGTTGCTAAATGCGAGCTGGTTGGTTGTCGCCTTCGGTGATCCTCGAGTCATGATCGAGTCAACGTATACGGACACGAAAGGACTAAATGATCTCGCAAAGACCGCATGGCAGAATAAAGGAGGAAAGTATATGGGTACGGCTACCGATGTCAAGCAGTTAGCAGATCCTTACTACAAAGCGCAGCTCAAAGACACCAGTGATTTTGGAATGATCACTCCAATAAACGCTATGACGGTGCGTTACTGTTAATTTTTCAATCTCATCGTTAATACATGATGTAATACCGTAGTGGTTGGTCACGGAGCAAAAGCAAGGCACATTTTCATTTAAAGATGCCGATCAAATCGTTGCTTTTGCCAACAAGACAGGAGCTCGAGTTCACTGTCACGCACTAGTTTCGGTATTCCTTACTTTTCCTCTAAAGTAATAATCTAATGACATTCAAGACTTGACTATAATCATTTGTGATCTACCACAGCACAAACAAGTTCCTCAATGGGTTCAAGTTCTTGAGAAGGCCGAGCTACTAAAGGCTATGGTGAATCACATCACAAATGTCATGACCCACTTTGGAAACTCCTGTATCGCTTGGGATGTTGTGAGTGAGGTTTTTGAAGAAAATGGCTCATACCGTCAATCCTTTTGGTACAAAAAGACTGGCAAGGAGTACATTTCGACTGCATTCACGACTGCAAATAAAGTCAAGAGTGATCTCAAACTCAAAACTAGACTGTACTACGACGATTTCAACATCAATGTCGTAAACAACAAATCGGATGCTGTCTTGGCAATGGCAACAGATTTAAGAAGCCACAAGATTTGGGTCGAAGGGATTGGATTTCAATCTCACTACAGCAACAACGCCACAGTCGCCGGAGCAAAGATTTATGAAAATCTCAGCCGGTTTACTATAAAAAACATGGACGTCGCAATTACGCAACTTGACGTGAAGACGAGCACAGCGAATCCTACCGTAAAAGAGCAGCAACAGCAAGTTAATATCATCACTAATGTCGTATCAGCGTGCAAGAAAGCCATGAGATGCGTTGGCGTGACGGTTTCGGACTTTGTGGATACCTATTCGTGGATCAATTCTTCGGCTCCAGTACTTTTTTATCAACCAGAAGGACCTGGTACGTCGCTTGTGCGGAAAGCTACGTATGATGCTGTTACCATGGGGTGGATTCTCTAAGTGCGTGATGTAAGTCAGGTGCTCTGTCAGTTCAAAAATACGTTTTGAATGTCAAAAATTTATGTCTTACATCTTATAATATCTAATTATAGAAATATCGATAAGTGTTCTTGATAAAAACTATTAGCATTACTTTTCAAAGGCTGCAAATAGTGTGGTCGAGGCAAGTTCACGAATCAAGACGCAACTGCAGTCCCATAGTCACGCTCTGTCATCACATTCATTGCACTTATCGGGCGATACGACGATGCAGCTAAGCTGTGACCTAATGGAAGCAATGCTTTGCCAAACAAGGCAAAGTGGCATTTTGCAAGCTGATAGTGATGAGTAAAGCTTTTTAGCTTTTTCTGTGAAGCCATATTGGTTATGACTTCTCGCCCGGATGGTATGCGCAATTGTTGATATTCCCCGTGAGTTCATGAAGCAGCAGTTCAGGGATTTCTGCATTTTACTTGAAATGATAAGTTCGCATGGGGATTCGTACACCGAGGCTCCATGGCTTGACCGGCTACGACAGCCACTTTACCAAAAAGCTATGCGTACACATCAAGTGACTATCATAGCCTAATCGCTCGCAATTTTATACGCTAATTTACGCCCCCAGACACTATGTTTGAACACGGTATCGAAGAATAGTCAAGCGATACGATGTCAGCTTCAATGTCACACGTGCAAGAACCAAAGACGTGCAACGAACATGCTAATATTTCTTGGATTGACATCTGTCAAGTATCTAGCAGCAGCCAGTGGTACATTTAAAAAGTGACAAATTTAACATCATAAATTTGCTGAGCCAACCACATCTTCCAGTTAACGGTGAGATTACTATAACGAGGCAGTAAGGTAATTCTCACCCACTTGGAATTTCTCGCAGTCTTATTCACCAAAGGAGGTGGCTTCAACGTCATGATTTTCAAATTCGGGTAGCTCAAAATCAGAGTGAACACTGATGATTGCAAGAACACACACCAATGTATGATGAAAAAAGGCCGACAAGTTGAAGCCAGCGCACAAGGTTCTTCTAGATAATCAAAGTTCGCATCGGTGAAGTCCGTCGCAGAGGCGTTTCGGGGTATGAGACGCGAAATATCATGATGCCGCTATGTGAGGTATTAATGTCAACCATAACTATCAACCAAGTGCTGGCATCATGCCATACTAAAGCACTTAATGATGTAATGCATTCAGCACTTGGCGTCAGTCTCCGCCGCCGAGTTGGCTGCGACTAAAAGTACGTTGTGTCTGCTGCGATCATGACGTTGTGGTATCTGTGTTCGGCATTTTCAGTATACATATTTGGCCTCAAAGCGAAGACCCTGGTATTATGTCTTCAGCCCACGCATGTACCATCGATTAAAAAACGAACGTAAGCATGATCGATTCGTTGAATAGAATGAATAGTAATCTATGTTGTGAAAAGATCGACACCAAAGTAATATGACGGGGTTTTCTACTTTACGCACCATTCAAATTCAAAATGCATAAGGACTTATATATCGAGAGAGCTGGCGAAAGAAAGTCATAAACGAAAGAAATATAATACAACGAATGCGAAAACGTGTTTCTCTGTTAATGTCATGTACCTTGAATGTTCTAAATGCAGGCGAAGAAACTTTTTAACCAGTTTTTACTGGTACAGTCGCAAGATGTCCATTTCCATACTTGTAGAGAAAGAGTGCGTACTTATGCAGTATGCTCTTGAATGCTTCAGGTGTCCACAAGAATGAACTTGACATAAAACTTGCGTCTTGATTTCTTCCAATGTCTTCCACTGACTTTTGTCCCGCCATCATCTCGGCGAAACTTTTATTTAAAATTCGCTGCTTCCTTATTTCGCGCCTCTCGTGATAGTCTCTGAAATACTTAGAGAGTTTGGCAACAATAGCTTTGTAATACTTGGCAATCTTCTCCGACATGCCTGACAGCGAAATAAATCGCTCTTCATCATCTGCTATTGTCTTGCCATGACTGGTCTTTAAAGCGGATCGAATGGATTGATTGTGTCCTGATCCATTTTGATTCGGTTGCACTCTCTGCGGATCCAATTTGTCAGAAGTAGCATCACAAGTCGATAGAATGGTGCTCAACACAGCAAAGGAAAGCCACAGAAGCTGAATACGCATTTTAAACGTACAAAATACTAACACCTTTCTTCCTTCAGGTCTAACGATGACGGGTGTCGCTGCTGGAGGGATTTTAAAGTGTCACAAACTTTAGCCTGGTGGAAATTTAAAACTGGCTTTCTATTGGCTCTAATACTACATTCTTCAAGTCAAGCTGCATCATTCTGTTCAATCATGTGCAGTTTATTCAAAAGCCGGTTCTTTGCGTTGATGCAGATCATGATTTGCATCATCGTTCCATTTGGGATGGAAAACAGCTGGTATCCATCACATGAAAGTTTCTTGTACCGCGCTGTATATCAATACCAAAAACTTCAGTTCTTATGACTATTTTTGCAATCATTTAAATGCTAGGATTGGCTGAATTATATCCTTAGGGATGTTAAGGACCCCAGCATATGGCACAGAATATTAAGATCCATTATTCCTTGAGTTGTTGATCGTCCTTTCCTTTACATTATCTCGGATGGTGCGCAGTATACCGGTATATACATGAAGCAAGGTTTAGAAGTACCAAAGTAGTATCAAGATTATTACAAGGAGAGGAAGGTTGTCCCCACGTTATGTCATTTGTGAAACAACCAGATTTAGTATCAAATTCAGCTAGGCATTATTCTTAAGATATGTGACCATCAATTAAAGGTATCTAGTTACTGAGAGGTTGCAGTGGACGTACAGTGCACATGTGTACGTGCATAATTGACTTTTGAACAATTGTACACAATATACATTTCATTTTTGTGGAAATGTGCAAAACATAGAGGTACCATAGTGATGGTACTAACGAGGACTGAACGTGGAGTGGCACGTAACCCACTGAGCGATGCTCAAGATTGAAGCGGTCGCTGCATGCCAATAGTGGCATGGTCGGCCAAAGGCCGAGGCATCATGAGCGATGCCCTTGTGTTGCGCGTAAGGTGGCACTTATCCACTGAACGAAGACTGCCGAAATAGCAGCTCTTCGTCGGATGCTGTTAATAACATCAAAGCTCCGTTGAAACAGGGAGTGGGGATACTGGACGACGACGAGTGTGTAACCCAACTGGTCTCGATGAGTCGGCGACTCCGTATTATATTTGCGAGACGCAGTGAGTCGACCCTGACCCAGGGTGTTGATACCGTGGACGATAGCACACAGCTATATACCCTTGTCGACGGTATGGCGGGAGAGGAAGACGGCGACGTCTCTTTCGAGGCTACTTCCTCGGTCGATGTTCATCTTGAGCTGGACGAGATGTCCTTCGAAGAGTTTGGCGTTATCGCAGGCGACTTAGCCGAGGTGGTCATCATAGGAAGAAGATATACTCGTCGTCCTGGAAAACATCAAAAGGGCTCTGATTGCATGAAGTGGATCGTCAATTTTGAAGGATCCCTCGAATCCGTGGTAATGGAATTTCAAGACGTCGTCTCCAAAGACCCGTCGGTCCTACCCCCGGATTGAGGTGTGCGTCATGAGATTGACCTGGTTCCGAAAACCGAATACTACGTTACACACCTATGAGCCTTGACCAAGGAGCAGTGCGACGTCATTGACGCCCTTTTCGTGCAAGTCACGACGCAGGAATCGTGCGTGAGAGCAAGTCTGTCCATTCGACACCCACGTTTTGTTTTCGGATGCCGAACGGCAAGTTGCGTATCGTTCACGCTTATAATAGGCTTAACGCTCCCGATATTCCAGATCAAACAATAATTCTAGAAAAAAGTTTTCCAGAACAATATGGATGGTTATACAAAGACAGCACCCTCGACTTGGTCGATGGTTATTACCAATTGCTCATGAGAGCGAGTGATATTCCGCTGATAGCGGTGAGTACTCTGAGCGGGATGCTCCGGGAGTGTCAACTGATATCTCAAGGGCTTATAAATGCACTAGCAACATTTAAGCGTCTTGTGACCGAGTTGATCAGGCCCCATCGGGCAACTACAACTTTGTCCACAGTCGTGCGAGGCATTCGAGGACAGATGGAGAAAACCACATCGTTCATTTAAGGGCGGCGCTCGAGTGCATGCGCACGAATAAGCTGTGTGCTATTGACGATAAGTGCATCTTCGGCGCAGAAGAAATTCCCTTTTTAGAGTGCTTTATTGGGAAGCGTGGACTTCGAGCAGGGTCAAGGCCATCGTGGACTGGCCGGTTACAAAAACCCAAAATGACTTGCGCAAGTGGCTTGCCCTAACCAACTACTTGGACAAGTATAGCGCGAATTCTGCTGTAAATGGCAAGGCCATTGTCTAATTTGCTTAAGAAGGATAATGAATGGTGTTGGGACACCGAATATCGGGAGG